ACAGAGTTTACTTTAAAAACAATCCAGGGGGGCCTGGATGGCTCAGTTGTTAAGCTTCTGCCTTCGGCTCAGATAATGATCCCAGGGCCCTGGGATGGAGCCCCAGCATCAGGCTCCTTCCTTGGCGGGAAGCCTGTTTCTCCCTCTCCCCCATGCCCCCACACTCACTGTGTCTCTGTCAAATAAGTAAAATCTTAAAAAGAAAAAAAAGAAAAAGAAAACACCATAGTATTTTTTTTTTAAATCCTAAGAAGTCCCAGCAACAAATTCTCGGCAAATCGAATCAAAGACACCATGTAGAATATAATAAAATACCTGGAAATAAGTTTCACATAATACATGCAAGGATTTTTACACAAAAACTAAAAACAAAACTGAGATGCTTTAAAAGAGCCTTAGGACTTGCACCTGCCAACATCCCAGAGGATGGGTGATATTAGTGCTCAGCAGCTCCAGGAGCTGCTTTTTGACTAGTAAATAGCCCTAAGATGCAGGAGACATGGCCTTCATTCATAATACTCAGGGTCTAAGCTGTGACTGTTCACTGAGACTTGTCAGAGACACCACACAAAACCATTTGTGATCACAAGACACCTCCATGACAGGGTCTACTCTGTCCTTCGTGGCAGATGGCGGGGCAGCTTGTGGAACCCCTGCAGCCTTCTGGTCACCTAATAATTAGGTAGAAGCAGTATTTTCATGTGTAAAATAAGCTTTCTTCAAAATCCAAAATGCCTTACCAAAAATTCTGCCTCTTAGTGATGCAGTATCTTGACATTTACTTTGGAGGAGATGTCCCAGTTCTGCCCAAGGCCAAAGATTGGTAAACATTTCCTGTAAAGGCTGATTGTACATACATGAGGATAATGTTAGGCTTTGTGGGGCACATGGTCTCTGATGAAACTACCCATCTCTCTGCCAGTGTAGCACAAGAGTAGCCACCAGACAAAACGAATGGACATGGCTGTGTACTACGAAAACATTTACAAAAAACAGGCAGCAGGCCAGATTGGGCCCTAGGGCCTAGTTTGCCCATCCTTGCCCAAGATTATTAGACCTTAAAAACTTCCCTGATGTGGCAGAGGCCTGAATTCTTCCTCCCTCTGGCACACACATTTCCTTCTAAGGCATCCAGAGTACTCGCTGCTTTCTCCCCAACAAACCCAATGAGGTCATTAATACAGTGGATCATGGCAAGATGATCAGTCTCTTCAGCCTCTATGTAACACACAGCAGGAGAGTTACCGGAGCCCTGGAAAAGACAGGGAATGTGTTCTAATATCCGTGTCATGAGAAGGTATAATCTCCTCCTTGATGCTGATTGAGGAGAATGTATTCACTAGGTCAGGAGCTTTTCAAGTGCTGGAGATTTAATAATCTGTAACTGGCAAGAGCACACATTAAGCACTGAGCTGTGGGAGGCAATTACTAGGTTAAGGTCCTGGTCATCGGCTATCCTCTGCCAGAATTCAACTGATGTTCACTGAGATCAGACAAGCAAATTAAAAGGGCATTTGCAGGGTGCCTGGGTGGTTCAGTTGTCAGGCGTCTGCCTTCAGCTCAGGTCATGATGCCAGGGTCCTAGGACTGAGCTCTGAAATCGGGCTCCTAGCTCTGTGGGAAGCCTGCTTCTCCCTCTCCCACTCCCCCTGCTTGTGTTTCCTCTCAGTTCTCTCTCTGTAAAATAAGTATGATCTTTAAAAAAAAAAAAAATTTTTTTTTAAAAAGGGCATCCACTTGCCTTTTTAGTCTATGAGCATGGCCCACACCTCAGACGTGGCACTTCTCCTTCTTCAGGTCTTGAAGGGGAACGCCATTTGAGAGGCCAAGAGGACTTGGCCTTTCCTACCATTATGGCTCTTCACATGCCAAGATCGTGTGTGGGGGTGGGGTGGGTGTTCTGTCAGTTGTCTAGTGCCCCTTCCTAATTCACCCAGTGAGATAACCTAAAGGGTCTGCAAACCTATTCAGACCTACAGTGAGACAAACTTGGCCCGGGGACCCATTTGACACCTAGCCTTCTCATGTTCCCACTCTAACAGAGAAGATTCTGATTTTCAATTAGCTTTCTGATCATACAGCCAGAATTTAACAGCTGGGAGAAGTTGACACCTTGCTGCTGTGCCATGTGGCCCCTGGGCAGACAGAACTGAAACCCTTATACTGCCTTTTGGCTTTACTGCCTGCCACTACCCAGTCTCTGCTTTTGTCATCCTTTTATCCCCTATATTATTGTACTGCCAACGATGGCTGAGAATTTCCATTAAACTTAAAATGCCGGTGCACATCACTAGCACATTCCTTTATCAAATTAGAAGCATCCTTGGGTCCTTCAACAACAACTTGAAGTAATCACTATACCCAACATGAGGCTCAAACTCACAACCCCAAGATCAAGGGATACATGCTCTTCCAAGTCCACCGTGCACTCCTCCGCAAACATTTTTAGCTAGTTTCTCCCACCTCATATGCAAAACCCTACCATGCCCACTTGAGTCTGATTATCCCTTTCTCAATACCCAACATCCCTCCCTCCTGTAGGTCACAATCTCCAAGTGTCAAGAGTTCACTTCAGCAAATGATGAACTCCCCAAGCATTTTATTCAGAATTTTAATCTGAGTCCCAAGAGGTACCCATTACCAATCATTTTACACTCAACCCTCTGGCCCACCCCCTCCAGAATCCCCTGGGGTGCCAGGAGTCCTGTCCACACATATCAAGCCCTGAAGCTTTTTGGTAGCATGTGTTTCCTTCCGTAGTGAGGCATCTCCCTTCTGTGTCATGCGAAGTCCTGACACTAGTTTTCTGGAACATAAAAATCAACAGTTTTCTTTAAGGTGCTAGATAGTGAGCATTTTAGGTTTTGTAGGCAGAGGCATATTTGCAATTTCCAGTATTTTTTACTTATGAAACTCAGTAGTGTTTTTCAGTGCAATTCTACTGGTAAGAATTGAATTCATTTGGGGAGTTTTCTTTGGGGTCCCCAGACATTAAATCAACTCATCTGTAAAAACCATGCTTATGTCACAGATCATGTGAAAACAGGTACTCTGGGTTTGATAGGTGGTTTGCCAATCCATTTTAGAAACAGTACCTGGAGGAGACTTTGATGAGGTAGACATCATCTCATGAATCATCTACCACAGGTGAGGCCCCTGCATAGTCTCACTTCTAGGAGGGAGCCACTGCTGCTAGCCCAGCAATTTCAGATAATATAGCACATTCCTCTCGATATCCCATACCAGGTTCTTGAAACCCACTCCTTATATGGACCCTAAACCTAGAAAGGAAGGTAGGGAGGTTTTAAGAGGGGTTAATGTATTTCTTAAACTTCACTCTTACCACATCTTGGTCTCTCATGGGATCTTACCAGGACAAGTTTCATAAGCTCCCAGGTGCTCTATCTGGGTTTCTCTGGGTCTTCACAACCCAGGCCTTTACCTCCCTCTGGGGGACTGCTGTTGGGAGACCAGGGGACACGGTAGACACGTGGGATGGGTGGAGACCCTGTGAACATGGCTTAAACCAGGTGTGTGATCTGTGCCTCCCTAGAATTCTTGTATTACCTAGTCTTCACAGTGGATCTTTTCTAGTTCAGCCTGTGTCCAAGCACCTCTAGCATTCCTGGGCACTGAAACTGCCGTATCTCAGGCCATCTGAGTCTGCAGAACACTGGTGGGAAAGATGGGCTGGTAAGGAGGGTCTGTAAAGCCATAGGAGGCTCAGAGAGTCTGGGTTAAGAGTCTAGTCTACATAAATGTTTTAACAAATTCTTCCGGGCTTAACCAACAGAGGATTGATCCTTTGAAATTATACCAGAAGGAGATCTAGAAGTGATGTATAGTTAGGGTATCTGGGCTACATTCTACAGTTATTGAAGGTAAGTAGGGGTGGGGAAATCACCAATAGTATCCTTCTCAAGCAGTTAAAAAATAAAAACTTCATCTCAAAGTCTGTTTTAGTGTATAATGCTGTGTGCAGAGGCACCTGGAATTTGGACACCATTTTCTACTGCTAGGTGGATGACCACTTGCTGCTGTGGAAACAGGTCTGTCCCAAACTTACTGCGTGTATATTTTAATAACCAGTAACTGCTAACCCAGGAGTATTAGAGCTACTAAGAAAAAACTGCTCAAATCGGCTTATTCTGTGGTTAGTGAGTGCCAATGTATGGGACACCCAAAATTAAGGATCTCTACTTATAAGAAATGAACATGACTCCAGCATAAAATAAGGGAAAAAGCAGGACATTACAAATGGCTGATAACAGCACTCCAGTCTCAAAAGAGGCTGGGGCCTGTGTGCTTCTAATTTTCATAATCTCTGGGATGTGTTTCCATTTCCTCCACTCATATTTAACATTTTAAAAATCAGACTTTTAATTTAGCCTATAGGAATATAAGGGAAATCTTACATTTCATGTGCTAAATTATTTTGAAATTCACACTGAAATACAGCAGTACTAAATTCTCTTCAACCACCCATTTTGCTACTTTTCTGGTGAGTATATAGTCGGTGCCAGTCATTGTGAAAAAATCTTTATTTTAAGAAAAAAATTTAGTTAACAAAAAAATTTAACAAGTTTCACTTAGCAAAATACACCCAAAAGGAAATCACAGTACAAAGAAAGTTTTAAGTCAAGGCCTCACCAATTCCTACAGTATTAGTAATGTGTCTCAATTTTCAAAACTAACTTATTTTTTAAAAGCTTAAACTTAACCTAAAAGATTTTAAATGAAAATAAACTAGAATGAACAAACATGAGAAATGTTCCTCTTTGAATCAGGGATCTAGCACCTTGAGTTTTCCAAAAAAGCACGCCTCCCCAATGTGTTCACGGTGATGTGGTGTAAAAGATCCATTTAATGTACTTAAAACTACTTTAACTCAGATAACCTCACTCTGAAGTACGCTACCAAAATGTTAATTGAGAAAAGCTGAAAATAGTTTTAGTTTACTCAATATCACATGCTAGAAGAAAGTTTGCATGAGAAAACACTGAAGAGGTAATTTTTTAATCCAGATTTCACAAACTCATGGTGCAAAATGGGTCCCACAGCTTCCTCTAGAGTAATAATTGCTTTTCACTGCTTGTTGGCTGCCTGTGAAAATTTGATTGCAATAACTCAAATGCTCCTACAAAACTAGTCATATCCACCCATGCTGTTCTGGCCTCCATAGCCAGCCCCGTAACAGCCGCTCACAGACTGGCTCTCGAGGCCACTGTAAGTGGACTGGGCCGACACCCCCATGCCTTGCATCATCTGGCTGCTATATGCCCCATTGCTGGCCCCAGTTGTGGAATTCAGGAAAAGTTCTATGTATCTGTGTTGCATGTTGGCCCGGTCTTTGGACATAGCCGCCACAGCTTCTTCGTGAGTGGCAAACTCAACATCCGCTTCGCCGGTCACTCTTCCATCAGGGCCAATCTCAATATGGACTCTCACAGGGTTGAGTGGAGAGAAGAAGTTGTAAATGTCGTTCTCTGTGGCTTTGTATGGCAGCCCTCTCATGTGGACGCAGTGCCCAGTGGTACTCTGGACAGTGAACTCGCCGTCGCCGTATCTGTGGTCATACATGCCCGAGAGACAGTAACTGAGGTCTCTCCCAAACAGATCGGTGGTGAAGCCGTAGCCATCGCTGAGGCCGCTGTACTCCTCATAGCCCCCATAGCCTGCACTATATGCACCAGACCTCATCCTCTCCAGGCCTGCTTGCTTGACAATACCAATATACCTCCTGGCTGTGCCGGGGCGGTCATAGGGCCCCGGCCGCTGTACAGACATGAACTTCAGAGGGGGATCTGAGTATGACCTAACTTCTTCCTGACTGCTCTTAAACACTTCAATATACCTGTGCCCTATTCTCTCCTTGTGCTTCCCTAGGGCCTTCTCAGCTAACTCCTGTGAGGCAAACTGCACAAAGGCTTCCCCTGTAATCTTGCCCTCGGGGTCCACAGGCAATGTGATCCCGTTTGGCACAATTTCCAACCCTGAGAAGAACTGAACAATTTCTTCCTTGGTGCATCCAAATGGGAGTCCTCGAAGCCGCACGAAGCCATCATTGGCGGTGTCGGCACTGTTTGGACCACTGTGCTTCAACACCCAATCCATCTCGGTTCTGTGGGACTTGAACACCTCAATGTACCGGTGTCCCATGCTTTCCCTGTCTTTTTTAAGGGCCATTTTTACATCATCTTCTGATTCAAGTTCAACAAAAGCCTCACCACTCTGCCTGCCTTCTCTAGTGTAGATGAAATGAACGCCTGCAGCCCCATCATGAATTGTGCAGTCAGAAAGGAAATTCTGCACATCCTCAACAGAGCAGGACCAGGGCAGGCCACGGAGCTTGACCACAAAGCCTTCACCTCCCTCGGGGCCCAGCATCATGGACACTTGAGAGGACAGACGTCAAACAAGCTTGGGTGCAGCTTTTTGTGGCTGAAAAGAAAGCAAAAACTACTTTACATAATTTTTCATTTATTATATACAAGAATATGCAATAAATCTTGTTTTCCTGATTTTACAGATGAAAAAAGAGAGTAAAATATGTTAAGAAATACACCGGATACATCTGAGCTGAGATTCAATCCCAGGTCTCTCCCAAAATGTATGTTTTACTCACAGACAGACTGAAAAAGAACAAATTATGAGTCTTAAACAAATACAATAGCAATCTGGAAGCTTCAAACATTAAGCCAAAACTTATCAATTCTAACAGTCAACTATTTTAAGTTTTAGAAAGGAAGACAAAAGAATGAAATAAGCCAGTACTTCAGAAATAGAGAACTTTTCAGAACCGGATGAAAACGTGAGATTATTACATATTTCAAGTAAAAGGACATTTTGTTACTAGAGGAAAAGGCAGAGCAAATTTGTAATAAATATGAAATGCTCAACTGCACGGGTTATCAGAGAAAACCAGATTACTGACAAACTACCATTCTGACTCACCATAATTTTATAACTTATAGTAATTCAAGTATTTGATGAAGTCACCTTATGTAGCAATTTTAATCATTATTTTTAAACTACCAACATGCAAAAGGGTAATTTTGTAATGACTTCAGTCCATCCCCCTACAACAAATAGAATTCATATCTTCTTTCTCCTTTATTGTATGCACCCAGTAAAAAAGCCCAGGAAAATTACCTGTTTTGTGGTTAATACTGGGTGGATGGGTGGCTCAGGGACACAAAGCCAGGCAAAATGTTTCTTATTTTGGACAATTCTTTGTTGTGGGGAATAGGCCTGTGCACTGTAGGGTATTACACAGCAACATCCCCAGCCTCTGCCTACTAGCCATCAAAAGCACCCCCCTCCCCAGGTGTGACAATCCCAAAGGCCTCCAGATATTCCCAAATGTTCCCTGGGGATAAAACTGCTCCTTGAGTTGAGATTAACTACTGTAAATCAGGGCCACCGACCTTAAAGTGGGCCCTCAATACTGCCTACAGTTCCACCCCTCTCCTCCAAAGCCCTGAGCTGTCTATGGTAACTCACCTATTCTAATCTCCCCTACCTTCAGCTGGTCTCTCATCTGGTTCAAATAGAGATCACGTAAAGAACTACCACAAAGTCTAGAAACTTAAACAAGAAGGAGTTGCTTCTCTTATCAGCTGACATTACATTAGCAGGATCACAATCCTGCTCTGGTCCCAACTCCACTCACCCCAGAGAAATTATTATTATTATTTTTAAGTGAGTTCCATGCCTAGGAAATAAGCCCAATTTGGGGTTTGAACCCACAACCCTGCTATCAAGGGGGATCAAGACCTGAGCTGAGATCAAGAGTCACTTAATCAACAAATCCACCCAGATGCCAAGAGAAATTTATCTTCATAGTCTCTTCACTGAAGACAAACGAATTAAGTATGACCATTTCTAACCAATGCCATAATATACCTTCCCTGATCAACTTTGCCTCCAGCTACTTTATTTGCTGAACTTCACCCTCAGTAAAATTTCAGAAGGCAGGCCTCTACTGTCCCCTCTACTCCTCACCATTGAAAAGGCAAAATCTCTCACTCCTTGTAAGAAAGAGAGTATTTTCTTCATTTTACTCATCCCCATAGGATTTAACCACTCCCTCTGGAAATCCTTCCTCCCTTTGGCTCTTTATGATGCCAACTGTCTCCTGGTTTTCTATTAATTCCCTTCGATCTGTTCTCCCAGCTTCTTCCTGTGAGTCCTTTTCTAGGCAGCCTCCTGTGATCTCCATGGTCAACTAGCCCCAGGCCCAGGACTCAAGTCCCAAGCCTCAGACTTCATGATGCCCAGAATGGTATACAAAATTCTACTCCGTAACTCCTACACCCCATGAAAGAAAGTAGCCTTTTCCGTGAAACTCTTCTTTAGCATCTCAGCCGCAGATATAAATAGACTTATCTGTCATCCTTAGGTTCTAGAAAAAAAGTGAAGTAATCCTTGGACAACTTTGCCCAAGCCCTCAAATCCAATGAGTCGATTACCTCTTGAGTGATTCCATTCACAACCCTAACCAACATTCCTAAATCCTGTTCAAGAACTCTTGATTTCAATATAAAGGTTTGTCACAGTTCTATACTCAGTTCCCTAGCCATTGCATAGCACAGTAAGAATTCATTAATTCCTTTGTGATTTCAACTGTCAAACGACTCTTTCTGCATTGCCCTCCTATCCCTTTCTACTTCCTCATTTCTAATTCCAGTACCAACAGCCCATGCCAGGATATTCTTACCTGGTTCTTAAACTTCTCCAAGTGTAATGGCTAACCCTTATTGCAACCCCATCTGTAGCTCAAATGTTCCCCTAAACCAACTTTGGTATTCTCCTGTTCCAAATCCTTGGCAGCTTCCCACTAGCACTGGAACACAAACCACAGAGCTAACGGGATACTTAGAACTTGCAACTTTGGCCTACAACACATTTATCTAGCTTTAGTCACTGCCATCAAAAAAAGAAAAAAAAAAAGAAAAAACACCAACAAAGAGCAGCAAAAAAAAAACCCCACTCCTTTATTCACTTCTGTGCCTGGAATGTGCCAGGCTTTCTGCTCCCTGGGATTCAACCACACACCGTAATTATCTCCCCAAACATACTCCACCCAAACTTCTGTCTAGCTAAATCCAACTAGTCCTTAAGGTCTCAGCTCAAACATACTACCTTCCCACAAGATCTTCCCCTTCTACAAATTAAGTCTTATCGTTCTATACTCCCATAGCATTCTTGCTCTGGTTTGTTTAAAAAATGTCTTCAAAACTGCTTGGAAAAGCCTAGCAGGAACAGACTGTTCGCCCTACCCCTAGCACAGCAGGCCCAAGATTAGCAAGAGATTAACTGATGGCCCTTCGAGGTCAACACCTCCCTCTACAATATGGCAGTCTAGGCTGAAAAAGACATGCAGGAAGCATAAACGAACACAATTATTTAATATTAAATTAGTTAAAACACCTAACAGTACAGTACAGATTATAAGTGTTTTGCTTCAGAAAATAAAGTTCCGGGGCGCCTGGGTGGCTCAATGGGTTAAAGCCTCTGCCTTCGGCTCAGGTCATGATCTCAGGGTCCTGGGATTGAGCCCTGCATTGGGGAGGGGAGCCTGCTTCCTCCTCTCTCTCTGCCTGCCTCTCTGCCTACCTGTGATCTCTGTTTATTTAAATAAATAATAAAATAAATAAATAAAATCTTAAAAAAAAAAAAAAGTTGACATTAAAAAAAGAAGTTCCAAAAACAAAGCAAGGTGAAGAGCACTCTTTTCTAAAACACACATCTCCATGTAAAACTTTCGTTGCTTGCTTATACTCCAGAATAAATTTTCTCTTGTATTTCTCACAGTAAGTCCCAGACCTGCTAACTCCATATTCTTTTAAACTTCCAATGGAACACAAATCTAATTTTAGGTGCAAATATAACTCAACATCCTCACTCTGCCCTCAGAACCTTCAAGCATTTGCATCCCTTATGGAGTTTTACAGTACTTAGGACATTAACTAAAATTCAGTAGGAGTGTGTAGATTTTTACTCCACATTAGATTTAAAGCTAATGACAAAGATCTTCAGGGTAAGAATGTCCTGCTTAAATACAAAGAATGTGAACAAAAAATACTTTTCTTAAAAGAGCTCACCTTAAAGAACCACCCGGGGAGGGGATGCCCACAGTCGGAGACACTCCTTGTAGGTAACGAACTGTCCTAAAAAAGAGTGATATGGCCGTCTTGCCTCAGTGTCCCAGCAGTCACAGAGCAACCAGAGGTGGTGCCCTGGCTGGGATGGGCTCCAGCTCCCTTCCCCCTTCTCGAGAGGCAGGGCTGGGGCTGCTGGAGGCCCTTTATAGCCCCAAGGCTTCCATAATTAAAACACACACCAGGGACTGCCCCCATAGCATTTAAAAGGTTTACCTTTTCATAGGGTAATAGACAGGGTAAGAGCAGGGAAACATCACACCAACCCAGATGAGACTTAGAATTCTAACTCTAAGCTCCACGAGGAAATCTAAATACCGAGGGTGGGAGGGACCTCTTCAGGGAGAGGGTGGAGCAAGTCCACAACAGTCCCGGGTACGGAAGGGACCACAGGGGCAGGAGGTGAGACCCCAGGCAGCATAATCTTTACTGGGACGAGCTCCGCAGAGTCGGTTGCTAAAATTGTTCAACAGGATTTACGATTTACAAGAATCCGAGAGTGGGGGTGTGGAGGGGGGGCAGGGTGGAAATGATCAACGTCTTTCCCTCCCAGTTTTATTTGGTAACTTCATTTCTTGTGACATGTATTTGCTCTGACACTGACAATAAAGGGAGGAAATTTTGAAATACGCTTTTCAACAGGAAAAACATCACTATCATTGCCCACAACCAAATGATTAGAAGTGTCCCCAAAGACCAGGATACATGAATTCCAACGAGTATGACGGAGAACCAAACCACATTCTTAATTTTGGAAAAGTGTAACTGGGAAAGTGAATTTCGCTGAGAGTGTTGTCTTAAAGATAAATCTGCCCTGTCCTAGCCTCCTGTATTATTAGATTAGATACCATCCAGCTGGGGGGGGGGGTACAAACGTCAAGTACCACAGTTTAACGAACAATAACTTGAAATTCTCTGGCAGATGGCTTCAAAAAGCTTCACCAGTCCCTCTCTTGTGCCCCCAGAAGAGTGGTATCTAAAAGGCAGAAGAACCCAGACATCTTGACTTGATTCCCTTCTTCTACGGTTTACCCCAGCTCCTAGCTCCTTCCAGTGTGGTCTGCAGACCAACACCTACCGAACGGTCCTCGGAAAAGCAAGCGCCGGGACGGCCAGCCACACCGAGGCCAATTTTCACCAGACTGAAAACCGGGAGGCGCACGCGTGAACACGCGCTGAAGCACTGATAAAGGACGGGTCACACCGGAGCACGACCTTACGATCGCTGGAGTAGGAAAATGTACTATTCCAAAGTCCTGCACCTGGACCTTCTAATTTAACTGTACCGCACAGGATGTGGCCAAGGATTTTGCACAACTCCCCCAAGTGAGCGGAATGTGCGTTGTGCACAGACCCCCCCATGGATGGATGTTATTAAAATGCAAAGATTCTTGAACAATAGACTGGGGATAGGGCGAGATTCTGCCTTTCTAACAGACTCCTAGACTCCCGCGAGGCTCTCCTTCACTCTACTGGTTAGACGGGATTTAGTTCGGATTCAGGTAGATCCAATCAAGATAAAAATGGGGTGCGCCTCCGAGTGCCAGGACTGATTAGGTTTATCTACGGAGTACTAGGGCGGCTTAAACTCCCACCCTCTTCCTTAGGAAAGGGTACTCAGCGGGACCCTAGCTTCACCCTCTTATTTGTGCTGCAGTGGAACCTAGAGCATTCTCACCCTTATTTGTAAATAAATATTCACCCGCAGCAGGTAACACGCAAGAGCCAGGTTGTCCTGGGGGTCCTAATTACTCAGAAAGTTCTACACTTAAATCACAGTGGACCAAAGAGACGCTGCTTCAGAATTACGCAGTTGACTTTGTTGCTAAGACTTACCGCTGAGGGGAGCAGGACTGATTTCTATTTTCATCAAACAAGCGCGGTTTAAGAGCCAAAGGACCCCTAATTCCACCCGACGCTTAAAAACGCAGACGGCTCCGGGGAAAGTCCAGGTGCGTCTCCTTTTGTTATTAACCTGAAAATGAAACTCAAGCGGCTGTGGGCGAACGCCTCAGACGACGGCTCCAACTGCGTTCTGAAGCTCGCAGCCGCGCGGGCCGCCAGGGGCGCGTCTGAGCGATTTCGGCGGGAAGCACAGCGGCGGTCGCAGGCGCTGAGCTCCCCGGGCGGGGAAATGGGGACGAAGTGCCGGGGGCGCTCACTCAGCTTCTACCTGGCGGATTCGAGACCCTACTGTCCGCCAGGCCCCACAGGAAAAGGGGCCCCGGAGCGCCCCTTCGCCGGGCCTGGGCGGGGTCAGCGGGAGCTTCCGGGGCGGGGGCGGGACGAGCCGAGGGAAGAGGGAGGAGGGAAGAGGGAGGAGGGAGGAGGGAAGGGGGGAGGGGGGGGAGAGAGGCTTCCCGGGCAGAGCGGGAGGGGGAGGGGAAAAGAGGTCACCGGGCGAAGGCTTCCCGGGCCGGGTTGTGGGAGGGGAGATCCCGGGTGGAGGGAGGGGGGAAGCTTACGGGGGCGGGGGGATGGGGAGGGAGGTCGCCGACGTCGCCGAGGAGGTAGTGAGGTGGGGCCGAGTTCCCCGTCCCGGCGTCCCGGAGCCACGGGGGAGGGGGCGGAGCTCCCGAGTCGGGGGGGAGCTTTCTGGGGTGGCCAGGGCCGAGTTCCCGGGACCGTGGGGGGCGGAGCTCCCGGGTCGGGTCGGGGGGACTTCCTGGGGCCGCGGGGGTAGAAGAGTTCTGGGGCAACCAGGGGGGAAAAGAAAGAGTTCCTGGAGCAGGCAGGATTGGGAGGGGGGCCTTCGGGGGGGAGGGAGAACGAGTTCCCGGGACTCGCGGGAGGTGGGAGGTGGATTGGGGGCTGAGAGAGGGTGGATGGGCGAGTGGGCAGGGGTCGTCCGCTCGCGGCGGCTCACCACGACGGGTCCGGAGTCCGGAAGGCCGGCGCGCGGGGCTGCGTCCCGGAGGCAGAGGCCGCGTGACTGAGGGCGGCGGGCCGGACGTGGGTCACGGGGTGTAAAGGAGGAAGTGCCACCGATGGGCCCGCCAAGATGTCACCAATGGAAACGCGTCCTGCAGGTGCGGCCCGCGGCCCGCGCGTTCGGCCCAGGCAGGAAGTGGGAGGAAGGAGGGAAGAAAAGCAACGAGGAAGACCGTTCTGTGTGAGTTCTCCGGAAGGGTGCCAGGACGGGGAAAAGTCCAGAATACTAGCGTAGAGGCGGGGAAGATTGGCACGATATATGTGGAAGAGATGTAAAATTTAAAAAAAAATAAAAATCTGAAAAAAATCTCAAAGCAGGAAGAATTGTGAAAGGAAACTAACAGACAAAAGGTAGAACCTCTTTGTATATACAGTACCTTGTTTTATATATTTGGGCGTAGATTCATGTAAATACTTTGCGTCAGTTTAAAAGATTTTAAAACTCGCAATTCTTAATACCCCACAAAGAATTACATTTCACGAACCTCTGAATCCGAGTCCAAAAGAACAATCTTTAAAATAATTACCACGGGTTCCTGGGTAGCTCAGTTGGTTAAGTGTCTGCCTGCCTGCCTTCGGCGCAGGTCATGATCCCAGTGTCCTGGGATGCAGCCTGGCGTGAGCTCCCCGCTCTGCGGGGAACCTGCTTCTCCCTCTCCCTACCGCTCGTCCTCTTAGTGCTCGCTCTGTCAAATACTTTTTAAAAAATAAGGCAACTGCAACATGAGCAATGATTAAATTTTATGTTACGGAATTTAAAAATTTTAGCTTTAATTATGGTGCTATGGTTTTATTTTTGGAATCAATACTTAAAAGATATATTTGATGTCTAGAATCTGATTCTAAGTCTGAATCTATGGAGTGGGATTACACATGAAACAAACGGGTCATGATTTAGTAGTTCCTGAAACCGGGTGATGGGTAGGTATATGGAGTTTTCCTTTTACTTTTGTCTCTCCTTCTCTGTAGGTTAAATACTTTGAGTAATGAAATTATTTTTAAAGAGGAAGTCACATAATCTACATACTAGAACTATGAAATGAACAGGATTTATAGGGAAGAGGAACCTACAAGCTAGGTAAGAGTATGCAAAGCCAGACTGGCAAATGAGTTCAGTCCTTCATTACAAAATAGCTCCAAGGGAAAAAACCAAGTGAACACTTACTGAATATAAGAAATCTGAGAGATTTATCATGGATTCACAACACATGGGGTGTATCTGGATTTTGAGTCAAACTGATAAACATTGTGGTATTTCAACTGACTAAAAATTTGATATTAAAGTGGTTTTTTATTGTTGAAGTATATTTATTTATTTTAGATATAAAACTAGTTATGTTTAAAAATAAAAGAACTAGTTTCTAGAGTTCTATTCACTGGAAGTATCTGTGGATGAAACTGTTGGCTGGGATTTTTTAAAAAATTATTTGGGGGTATGGGGGCAGGGTTGGATGGCTCAGTCATTAAAAGTCTCTACCTTGGGCTCAGGTCTTCATCTTGGGGTCTGGAATGGAGCCCTGTGTCAGGATCCCTACTCTGCAGGAAGCCTGCTTCTCCCTCTCCCACTCCCCCGGTTTATGCTCCCTCTCTGGCTCTCTGTCAAAATCTTAAAACAATTAGGTGGAGAATATAAGAAAAACTGTCCCTAATTGTGGAAGCTGGGTGATAAGAATCAAAATCCAGCCTTACCATGGAAATTTATACATAACACTAAAAACTCATGAATTCAAGAGAAGTAAAACAATATTCCAAAGAAAAATTAAGCCATAAAACTGGCTTGTTTTTGGAAAGAGTATCTACAGAACTGAGGTACCTGACTACTTCATAAGCATTTATTTTACTTCATGAAAACCTCTTCAAAATATATTCTTGATAATTTATGTAACTGGTATGTTTTCTCACTTTATTTATTCGAATGTATTTGTTGAAGTTAAGTAGTTTTACATATGCCTGCCTGCCTCAAGTGGTTGGTGACACTGGGGAGGTGTCAGTTAATAATTGATCAGCCATGATAGGGTTCCTGCCTGGTGAAGGAACAACGTGTACGGAAGACATGGGGACTTGCCCTGCTAAGACCAATGAAAGAGGAAAGGAGAGAAAGATCCTCCTCAGCCTTGAAAGCCTGGTTTGGTATTTTGTACATTAGTCTAAAACCAATGGGAAATCATTTAATTGTTTCAAAATGGAATGTGGTGTAATTTGTGTTTTTGCCTTTCAACAGAACAGTCTAGCTGTTATCTGGAAAACAAATGGTGGGAACAGATGCATGGAGAGGAGATGGGAAGCAATGAGCAAGTTTAGGAAAAACTGATGGTACCCCGAAGTAAAAACACTATGGTAGAAATGAAGCAATTGTGCCAAGATTTGAGTGATGTGCAGTAGACAAAAATTTACCAAACTTGGGAAAGTCATTCATTAACTCAGAAATACTGTGCACTTACAAAATGCAGGCACTGTGCTAGGTCCACAGAACAGTAGGCTGAGAAATCAATAAAGAAATTAGGCTCCCTGCTCAGCGGGGAGCTTACTTCTCCCCCTCTGCCCCTCCTCCCCACTCATGCTCTTGACAAATAAAATCTTAAAAAAAAAAAAAAAAAAGAAGAAGAAGAAGAAATAAATGTATGATGACAAATTCTGAATGACCCAAAACTAGAAAATGGAGATTAATTTACACTGGGGCTCTAAGGAAGTGACAAACCGATCCTAAGCATGAGAAGGGGTAGGAATGGGAAACTTTTTGCCCCTGGTAAATACCTAAGGTATAAAAGCAGATTTTAGAAGACCCCCCCCCCTTTTTTGTTCCTTTGTGCGCTATCCTACTTATTCCTCCCTGAATGCTTGGTCAAATTTTTTTAATTTTTATTTTTTACTTTTATTATTATTTTTTTAAGAGATTTTATTTATTTAACAAGAGACACAGTGAGAGAGGCAACACAGGCAGGTGGAGTGGGAGAGGGAAAAGCAGGCTTCCTCCCGACCAGGGAGCCTGATGCAGGGCCCCATCCCAGGACCCTGGGATCATGACCTGAGCTGAAGGCAGAAGCTTAACAACGGAGCCACCCAGGCGCCCCTCTTTATATTTTTAAAATGCAGCCCTTTGCCAGGGTCTGTTTTTGTGCTGGTTGCTTTGTATAAATATTTTACTTTGTGGTGAATCCTTTTATTTTTTTAAAAGATTTTATTTTTTTAAGTAATCTCTATACCCAATGTGGAGCTCAAACTTAACAACCCTGAGGATCAAGATCGCATGCTCTACCAACTGAGCCAGCCAGGCACTCATGGCAAATCCTTTTAATCTTCATATTCAGGTCTTATTAAATTCACAAGAGAATTTTAGATATTATTTCTGCTGCTTATGTCTGTTTTGGGTCTGGGAAAAAAGCAATTCCCTGTCTAGGGACAGTGCATGAGCAGAACCCAGACCCCTAATTTATTATGGGTAGTTTTCCTGTTCTACTGGAAACCTCAAAAGTCTTTCCCAACCCAGCAATTTTCATGAAGTCCCATTTCAGTGGCTCTTAAACACTTCTGGCTGTCAAATACTTGAGAATATGATGTAGTTCTGAACTGACTACTTCAAGAAAGCACACTCCCTACACAGTTGCCAAAATTTTCAAGGGGCTCAGGCATCCCAAGTGTGACTACTCTGACCCTAATGTGTACGACAAGCCAAGTTCAATACATAAAGCTACCTCAGAGCTATTGAGAGAAAAGCTGTAGATGGATCATTAAATGTGTTATTAACATTCTAAATGTTTAGGGCGCCTGGGTGGCTCAGTGGGTTAAGCCTCTGCTTGCCTTCGGCTGGGGTCATGATCTCAGGGTCCTGGGATCAAGTCCCACATGGGCTCTCTCCTCAGCGGGAAGCCTGCTTCCCCCCTCTCTGCCTGCCTCTCTGCCAAATAAATAAATAAAATCTTAAAAAAAAAAAAAACCATTCTAAATGTTTATTATTACAACATTTTTATCCATCAAGAGATATGTATGAAACAGGAAAGCTACTTTCCATTATCTTTTAATTATTAGGGCTTTTAGTTTGTGTACTATAGCTAAGTCTCTGGTAATAATACACTTTCCCTCAATATTCATTTCTCAAAAGCTGTGTTAACTAAAACCAAAAATAGTATGTGATGTTAGGTAAATTCTATCATGCTTGTATTAAAATTAACATAAGGGACAAAATTTTACCCTGCATAGAACAAGCAGCTATTGCTCTGTATTATTGATTGCATTCTGCTGGTGACTCAGGAATCAAAACCCAAGTTACCACAGAGAAAAAAAACGAATCAGGTGAAGTTTTCATAAAAAGAAACACTGCTATTTGACTTCCACTGCTTAAGATAAAATCTGTTTTCAAATGAGGGAAAAATTTCATCATCTCTATTTAACTGGTAGTGCTTTCCCCACAGTAAGAAATATGATTCAGCACAGCTAAGAAATTTAAGGCGGGAGTTGGGGGGAGGTTGTTAAAGAAAATACGACTGCTAATAACACAACAGTCTCCCAACCACCTCCCCTATGAACTTTCCTGTAGCTCTTTTCCCTCAGTAAGCAGCCCCTGGTTGGGTGACCGTTTAGATCCTAGAACTGGGCAAAGGCCTCAGGAGGCCTTGTGGGTTACACGCATGGTCTCCAGAGAGATGGTTAGGGAACATGCCCACAGCCCCTCAAGGGGCCTATAGCTTCCTCCTGGGGCTCTGTGGAGGGCTGACACCTTGTCAGGTCCCATGTAGCTGCCATAGGAGCGAAGACTGCTGCAGCATCTTGTGCTCAATTTTTGCTGCTCAGGGGACCATACCACACTGCCCTGGGAGAGTAGAGAACAGATCCAAGAGGAAAGAAACACAGCAATGCACATGAGAGTGGCTCAAGCACCCGGAGAGAATACCATGCATTCAGACAACAGCTTAGAACAATAGACAGTTTTAAGTGAATGAGAAGCAATGGACAAAATTTTTTTAACAAAAAATATGAGAACTTTCAGATACTCAATTACAGAATATAAAACTTCTAAAATTTGAATTTTGAATTTATAAAGTTAGTAATAAACTGAAAGCACAGTGGCCTGAAAAACCAAGTGGAAGAAGTACCT